ATGCACTTATTTCAGTGGGGTCTCATGACCTCCTGAGCTCTGCAGCCTAGAGTTCTAAAATGATAACAGATCTTTGTGCTTCCTGCTGGTGAGAATAGAATTCCAACTCCTTTGGGGAACAAGGAAAATAAGTGGCCTTCTACCACTGGAAGAACTGTTTCCAAACTGACTAAGGCCTGGCTGAGCTCTGGAAAATGTAGCAAAAGAAGCTGTATCCATATGCATTCGTAACACAGAGTCTAGAAGAAAACATAAGGAAGAAAATTTAACTGCACAAGGGACAGTGTCTAAAATATCTCCAATTTTAGTCCCTGGAAGTTACACAACCAGCAGATGAAGGCTGTGCTACAGCAACACAATTTAGCTGGAAAATAAAAGCATCAAGTTATGCAGATTGACAACACCTTGACCTTTTGCATTTCCACATATTAGGCACTGGATGAAGCAGTAATGCCACTGAAGTCAAAGGCAAAATTTATGCAACTTCTATGAGAACAGGATTTAAACCAGGAGCTTTTGAAATGGGAGAGCATGAGTAGAGACAGTCTATGTCCTTCACTGAGAGAAATCTGTCTGTCCTGACTCCAAAGTGTGACCATTCTGCCAGGAATGGAAACTATGTAACTCTGGAAGTTTTTCAGATTGATATTAAAATTCAAGACATCAACATTTTTTTTCTCTAAGTGAATACAATAATTATATACTCTGAATATGCTGAAAACAAAGTCAGTTAACAAAACCCAAAACTTATTCCAGGAATACTCATTTTCAAGATCTCCCAGAGGTATGTAGAAGATTTTTACCACGAAAAGTAATTCCCACTAGGCCAGAGGGACTATGAATTTTCATGGAAAGCTTTGTCATTCTCAGCTAAGCAAATGAAATTCAGATAACCCATAGAGTCAGTCTACAGAACCCTAAAATGCCTTAAGCAGAGTTAGGAATACAAGAGGCCCAACTGCCTGACGGTGATGATTACCATACCCTTCAGGTAAGTGTGCATAAGGCAATCTAAAATTATTCAGCTCTCGGGAGTGTGTGCTAATCAGAGGTTCTGCTAAGCAGAACTATTACCAGTCCTTTAAAATAACCTCTAAAACATTCCTACGAGACATAGCATAAGTCATCAAGTTACTTTATTTTATGAATCATGAAACTGGAAAACATGTAATTGAAAATGTGTTGAGATTTCCTTAATAATGTTTATTTGCCTCTAATGCTTTTAGAGAATGACCCATCCACATTTTTCAGAAGCTGTCTCTTCATTTTCTTTCAATTTCCCTGTCTTTCAAAGCTCTACCCTGATTCTCCTTTTGCTTTTCCCATGTAAAAGAAGAATAGCTCTAATGAGGAGCATGTTAGAATAGCTCTTAAGAGAAGCATGTTAGTTTTATGTTTTAACTCTTTTGTTGCAAACACCTGCTGGTTTGAATTATCCATCAGTTCATAGAATATGTATTGGAAGGGACACAAGGATCACTAAAGTCCAACTCCTGGCACTGCACAGGACCATCCCCTAGAGTCACACCATGTTGACGCTGTTGTCCAAACAGTGAACTCTGTCAGGCTGGTGCTGTGACCACTTCCCTGGGGAGCCTGTTCCAGTGTTCAGCCACTCTCTGGGTGAAGAATCTTTGTGTAATATCCAACCTAAACCTCCCTTGACACAATTTCCTGTCATTCCCTTGAGTCCTGCTGCTTGTCATCAGAGAGGAGAGATTGGGACCTGCCCCTCATCTTTTCCCTTGTGAGGAAGCTGTAGACAGCTGTGAGGTCCCATCTCAGTCTCCTTTTCTCCAGGGCAGCTGGCCTGTCTACATTCCGTGTAATCATATTTTTATCTAAGCCTGATAGTCACTGCCACTATACACATTTGTTTACTGGAGTTAATCTCATTCACAACACATTTTAAGGATCTTAACAGTTGAAACCCCTTAGTGTCAGAACTGTATTTGTGTGTTGCTGTTTCTAAGTTCTGCATGCCTGCATTATAATGGTTGTTACATGTATTATTTCACTCATTTCACTCTTTAAAATATATTTCATTTGTATAACATGAATACATCTCTTTCCTACTATGTTGAAAAAAAATTTAACTTTCAACTCAACATCTTTTTTTTTCCAAGTGTCTAGCATTCAAGAAGAAAAAAAAAAAAAAGCATATTTTTAGAAATTTATTTTCTAAACAATGTGGTTTTCCCTGGCCTAGACCTCCTAAATAGGTCTTGCTGGAAAGTGGATGTCAGCAAGCCCTACTTTCCTTGTTTGAAGGTGGAAACTTAATGGGCTATGGGGTTTTTTTTTTTTGTTGCAATTCAGAATGGGAAGGCACTGTCTTCTATGAACAGGAGAGGGAAAATAGAAGTGGATGAGTGTCAAAAGAAAAAAAGCATAAAAGAATTGACAACGTTCAAAGGCAAGAAGGCAAGAGGTTGAAAGCCTGTTTCTTACATCCATTTATTAAAGTAAAAGCTTTAAAATTCAGAAAGCCTTATTTAAAGTAGGTAAGTGTGGGGTCTAAGTAGTTGGCTGTTGTTGGATTGCATTAGGACCTTACCTCCTGCTTACAAAGGAAATCCTTATTACATGGTAATACCCGTCAACCACACTGGGTGACTCCCCTATCCCTTACACTTGCAAACTTCTCATTGCAATTAAATGATCTCTGAATAAATCCCTCTTTATGGAGTACAACTCAATCTGGTTTTGTCTGAGCCAATCACAACAGAAGATTTTAAGTCATGTCCTTTCTCTGATGCTGCTGAAGTGCTGGCAATTTGCTGTGCTCCAAAGCTTCAGAAAGGCATTCTCATTAGTCTGATTAGAGTTGGTGCGCATGCGTCAAACGCGGAGTGGGCGTTCACAGGGAGCACAAGCTACATGCTCCTTTCAAGTATCACATGAATTGTTGTTACCCTTTCACCCAAGTGATTTCAGTCCTCAGCTGAAAAGTGGGAAATGGTTTCAAATCCTCATGCTATGTAATGGAACAGGGCTGATAACTCACCAAAAAGTTTCCTAATCAATGTTTAGGTTTGGGTGTATTGCAATCAGTTTTTTCTCTTGATGTTGCTTTTGCTTTTCAGTTCAAGAAGGGCTGTGAGTCTGCAGTTCAGTAATTAGAAATTACTCCTGGTGGGGAAGGGCTCACATAGGCTCTTGACTGCTCCTGTGACTGAATAACATAGAAGTCTTAAAAGTTCATTAGGAGACTTGTCTGTTAATTGAGGGCTTTGACTCCCTCAGAGCAATTGTGTGTTGAAAAGATCTCTACCTGTTTTTAAATGAAGCTTGGAATGACTTGCTGAGGGACCTAAGAGTCTAGACCTGAGTTGAGAACTTGCCTGCCTCATGTGGGGGCTGTAAGCAGAGCTCAGTGTAGGTTCTTTGCTGCTCACAGAATCCTTTACCTTATTCCTTGTAACAGCTGCAGGAAGCTTCTAGGGAAACTATATGTATGTATGCAATCAGTATTACATAAGGCAACTCTTAAGAGCAGCAGGCACACACTTTGTCCTGTTGCTCTGCATTTCATCCCATCTTGCTGCAGGCCAAAGCACAGCACAAGTTCTGTTGTGTCTTGCAGGACCTCTACATCATTTCCAGCATTAGAGTCCTGCTCAGGCTGAGGTACAGCAACCTCCCTTCCTGTCTGGATTCCAAAAGCAGCAAAGAGAGCACAGAGTGACAAAGGCCCTTACCTTTTCTTAGGGGCTTCCCCAAGCGTGACCTCTGCCTCCTATGCAAAGCTAATATAAGACACATGGCACAGCAAGTGCCTTCCATCACAGGGCTTTTCTTGAGCAGGCCTGATCACATTGATAGGATGAGCTCGATGCTTCCATATAACGAGTCTCTGTTAAGCTTTCCAGTTGGTGCAACTTAGTGTTAGCTGCTGACCATATCCAGGTGCTTACGGAACAGAAACCCCCCACTGTTACCTAAAATTCCTTCTGAACCCAACCCCCTTTTACCTTCTAGAGAACCTCCAAAGCCCTTCAAGTGCCTCTGAGAGAAAATATATTTTGTTTTATGTTTCACCCTATGTTTATATTTTAGTATTTTATATATTAAGTATTATACATATTTTATGCTTTTGAGTGCCATGTTTAGTTAACTTACACCATATTTTACCATTAAGTTCTTCACATTATTTTCACAATCTGTTTCCTACCTAAGTTAGGTACCTCAAAGTGCTACAGGGTCTCTTCCCTGTGAGTAGGGTCACATGAAAGGCTTCACTCAACCCATAAAACATTTGTACCTTCCTCTTTCTGCTGTGCCATTAAACAAATCCACATCACAACTGTTTCTTTAAGCTTAAACTGTGTCTACTCATGATCTTCCAGAAGTACCTAAGAGACTGTACTTTCCAGGGAGGCTAAGTGCCTCCAAGTGACACACCAAGCAGCCAGTGTCTCTGCAACTCCACCTGCTACCAGCTGAGCAGCCATAGCAGGTTTTGCCCTAGAAGATGTGCCGAGGACCTCATCCTGTTTTCCAAACAGACATTTTTAGCTCTGATAGAGGAAACACATACTTCAGGGGTCAGCAAAAATATATCAGTGATTACCTATTTGAGAGCATTTCTATTTTTCTAAGCATTCCCTTATGATTTTTATTCTATCAAAGCAATGCGAGCGGCGTTTGCCTGGAAGCCAGCCCTTCTTGAAACATGTCTTCCTCCCGAGAGGTTCCTGTGCCATAGTCCGATTTATCTGAGGCACCCTTTCATGTTCTGAGTAATTCTTAGAAATAATTCCTGCTCCAAAAGGCTCGAGAGAGGAGATCAATTTATTCCTGCTCCTTATAGGGAGCTTCGATGCTGATTTCGGCGAGACAAAGCATCACGTAAGGGTTTTGCATCAGCCGGTGCGGAGAGAGCCCCGAGCCGAGCTCGCTCCCCGCGGGCGCACCGCGTTCCCCGCGATCGGCTCCGCGCCGCTGTCCGCGCCCGCCGCCAGCCCCCGGCCAGCCCGCTCGGCGAAGCGGCCACTCACCTCCACGAAGTAGAAGCAGGGCAGGAGGGTGACGCTGTCCTTGGTCACTTTGCCCTTCTGCCGCTCCTTCGCGGACATGCTGGCGGGGCTGCGGGCGGCGGCCCCGCGGCCAAGCGCTGCCCCCGGCCGCTCGCAGCCGCCCGGCCGCCGCGGCTCTCCTCCGCCGCCGCCGCGCCGAGCGCTGCGCCGTGCGCGGGGCTGACGTCAGGAGCCGGCTCGGCGGGCGGGGGTCCCGGCCAGCTTAACTCCTTCGCGCCGGGCCGGGCGGGGACCGGGGGGCAGGGGAGCCCCGGGCCGTGCGCCCACCCGCGGGGATGCTCTGGCTGCGGCGGGAGATTTGTGCGCGCACGTACGGGTTTGAGAGACCTGAACGGGATCCCTGAGGGCATCAGGGTGCTCGGGATGCTCCTTGGGGAGTCTGCGGCGTTTATCTTGTTTCTGGGAAATATTTTTTCTGAAACAGAGCAGTAGAACGTTCCAGGGAATAGCATTCCTAAACAATCAATATTCCTTTCTTGCAGGTGTACTCTTTTTGAAATCAAGATGTTAATGACAGCTCACCTCAGTCTTAGTGCCAGTCAGGGGGAGTAATGTGACTGGGACTGAGCCAAACTGAGCTTTTCAACCCCATGTGCATGTGATTTCTCTGATCTGTCAAGTATCTGGTGCAGTTACTGCTACAGTCTTGAAGAGAACGGAATTAACCCGAGCAATTGTTTCCATGGTGAAATGTGCTAAGATCCTATTTATGGATCAAAGTTTGCAGTCTTTTCTCAGGCAAGCTCCTGTTGATGTCAATGAGAAGTACCCTGGATAAGGCCTGCAGGAATTATCTGTGAAAGATAGCATTTACATTCTTTGTAGCACATTAATAAGGTCTGCAGAAGTTGTCTTGTGCCCATAAGCTTATTCTTGCATTGTGATGTTCAGCTTTAATGTACAAGGAGAGAAGCATGACTCAAGCAGTCATTGTTTATTTCCTGTCTTTCTCCTTTTGGGGGAAAATGGGAAATTACCTGCTGTTTTTTTTCAGATGGTTGCTGGAATTTTGGCTGCAGTGGCAATGGAGGTGAAGATTCTCATCAGCCCCTTTTCTTTTGTAGCTTTTCTCTTTTCATTTATCCAGAGTGGATATGCTAATCCATGCTCTGCACTGAGTAGACAAGCTTCATGAGAGGGTAAAATCAAAAATGTACTTCATGCCTGCAGGCAGGTGTGGACTCCAAATCATTGAAAAAGACTTTTCAGAGCTGCAACACACGTTGCCATACCAACACATATTCTTGTCTTAACCCTGTTAGGTAAGATTTACAGGGTTTCTGCTGGCTCAGGAGTCAGAGCAATTGTTGGTAGCCTTGTAAAAGGCAGGTGAGGGGCCTCCAGGTAGCAGAGGTAGCCTGGGGGGTTACTGGGAACAGAGGAGATGTGAGAAGAAGGGTTTTATTCCTGTCTATCAGCACTAAATTCCAGGAAATTACTAAGAGTGCTGTGGGGATGTCCAGTAGTGGTTCATACCCATCAGTATAAGTCTAGCTTTTAAATAAAAGTAGTCACTTTTTGTTAACTTTGCTGGTGGGTTATTCCACCAGCAAGAAAACAGCAAATAAACAGCAGTAAAACAGCAAGAGTTGAGGAGCTGTTGTAAGATTTTGTTCTTGCCAAATATGTAACTATAATTGGGGAGAGTGGGTAATGAGTGATACCACTTAATTGCATTTAGTGTATCGGCCTTGATTGTTGTGAAATCATGAATCTAGCTTGAAAATAATCAGCAAACTCTAATAAAAATTATTCAAGAGTACTTTTTCTGCCTGTTTCACACAAAATTGCTTCATTCTGTGTGAATCAGGGGCATCAGGTGCTTCTCTGGTAAAATGAACAAACAAGCTCACATTATGATGCAATTTTAGAAACTGGAAAAATTCCTCCTGCAAGTTATAATTTATCATTGGACTACCTAAAGGCCTGTTAGGAATGCAATTATGATAGATACAGTGAAATAAAAGGTAGTAGCCAGCCTCTATTCTGCAAACTCACTATAAACATGTGTCTAATGGAAAGGATACCATGCAAGCTGTGTGACTGCTGTAAGGGCAGGAAGAGTTGTGCTAATGCTCTGTGTTTGATTCTGATAGAGCTAGGAGTGGGGTTATATATGAGTTAGCCAAAGTGGTTACTTTTTTCAGTGACATAGCTTGCCACAGAATAACAGAACACGTTGAGTTGGAAGGGACTCACAAGGATCATCAAGACCAGCTCCTGGCCCTGCAAAGGACCATCTCTAAGAGTCACACCATGTGCCCAAGAGCATTGTCCGAATGCTTCTTGAACTCTGTCAGGTGCTGTGAGCACTTCCCTGGGTCAGTCAAACACTGAGAAGGAAGATGCGCCTTGCTCCTGATATGCAGTGACCCAGTTCCAGCCTTCATCTTTAACAGGCCCTTGACTAACAGTCCTTTGACTAATTACCCTGTAGGGTTCTGAGTCCACCTGCTTCTCCACTGCACTGGAGGTTCAAGAGTCCCAAAATTCTTGAGATTCTTGTAGTGTCTCTGAAAATAATCGGTCTACCTCTTGCTCATTCACTCAAATAGTGAGTAGCCTGTCCACTTCTTCCTATAGCTCCTTCACCTGGTGGCACAGCTCCTCACCCACAGCACACCTTCTGCAAAAGAACTGTTTGTCATCCCCAGTCTCAAAAAGAGGCACCAGGCACTCCTGGAAACCTGTGACCTGGACAGCTACATCCACTGTCAGCACGGTCTGGCATAGCTGGCTCAGTGACTCTCACAGTTCCATGGGATTCTAGTCAAACAGAGGATGAGAAGGTTCATCAGCACCTGCGTCCCAGCGTGGGGCAGGTCTGTCTAGTGCTAGCCTAAAGGTGACATTGATGGGCAAGCATGGACATGTCTAGGCGCATGTCCCACCCTTCTCTCTGAGCTTTCACTTAGGTCCTCACTTGAGACTCAGCTAGAACAACCACATTCTCAGGACCAAGGTACAGCTAAGGTGCCACTTCACCATTTCAGCCTTGGTGTGCTGCCAGCAGTAGATTCCTAGCTGCCAATAGGGTTGGCAATAAATTTTCTAATAAATTGATACTAAATTAAACTAATTTCCCCAAGTCTAGTCTGTTTTGCCCAAGACAGTAACTAATGAGTGATCTCTTCCTGTTCTTGTCTTGACCCATAAGCCTTTTGTCATATTTTCTGCCCCCTCTCAGGCTGAGGAGGGGAGTGATAGAGAGGCTTTGGTAGATATCCAGTGTTTGTCTAAGGGCAGTCCAACACCCATATCCATATAATCTCCTAAAGGAAAATGTGTTGGTGGTAACTAATTCAGAAACACCTCCTGTCCATTTCAATCATGATAGTCTTAAAAGAAGGTGTGGTGATGTGTGACTTATGAATGCATCTATGTGCTGGATATTCATATTTACAGGATCTGCACTATTCCTGACAGCTTTTCTACCTACCTTCAAGCAAACTCAGAGAAGTGTCATGGAACATTTAGCATAAAGTATAAAATTGTTTGTTTATGCTTTGCTTCAGCAAAACCAATCAAGTTCATAAAAACATTTAAAGGAGTTGGGGAACTAAAAGATGAAATTTATAGATGTGGACTATAGGCCTCCTCTGACTCATCTAGAATGAGTTTTTAGGAGTGATTTATTTTTCCATCAACAAAAAGAAAACTTGGCAATCAATAGGTGCCCCTGGTGACTGCAAGCTGATTTTTTAGAGCTCAGTTTAACCCAAGACCTTGACCCTCTAAAGAAGCACTGTTGGTGAAACTTCTTTAGGTGAAGAAAGCACCTTTCTTTGTGCTTCTCAGGCAGACAGTAGCTGCCACAGTTATTAGAAACCTGATTTGAAATTCTTTTCCAGTACAATCTAGTGTGTTGGCAAGGTTGCACTGCATTAAATGTGACTGAAGGTCATTGTCTCTTTGTCCAGGTGCTTTCTTCCCTCTCCAGCCAAGTCTGTCTGTGCTCCCAGGCTTTGGTAAGTGCTGGACACAGGCAATGGCTGTGGTTTCACTGCTTCCATGGCAACAGAAAGCATACTGCAGAAGCAGGGACCACTGTTATATCACTGAATAAACCCACTTGCAAAAGCAGTATGAAATAATATGACAAAGATTTAGAGGAGCTGGTGAGTTTACGGCTGTGCAGATTACCTGGTCAGAGAGTGGCTCTGGGGGTTTGTAGCAAGCAGAAGTTTGGCCAGAGGCTGCAGCAGCAGCTGCAGTTGCAGTTACCATTGCTTAGTAGCCGAAGGAAACCTGCTTTCTTCAGGTCACCACACAATTTCCCCACAGAAAGGCCACTTCTGGGGCTATGTGCATGGATCAGGGTTAAATCATATTATATAGATAGATCTTTTTTTCTTTGGCTTGCCCACTGAATGCAGAATAGATGATGTGAACTCACCATATTAAAAGAGTAATCCTCTCTTGAGAAAGGGTGGCATATGGGAGCTGGGCTTTGCTGTGTGGAACTGACAGATGTTTTTTGTTCTGCTTTGCTTGCCATATCAGAATTCAAAAATGCAGCAGTGTATATTAGTATATATATTCTTCTTCCCCCCACACTCCCAGTCCCTCAGGAAAGTCTGTTTGGGGGAATTCTTGTGTGTATTGAATTCACATGTTATTCCATAGGTAAATCTGCCCTGAGCAAGGGAGGGGATGTTGCTTTAGTCATTCATTTAAAAGATTGTTCTGGTCATAAAACAGATAAAATTGTATGAATATTTGATGAACAGGCTTTCTAATCTTTGCTGCAACTACCTCAGTAGGTAAAAATACTGGAGGAAAAATACTGCTGGCTCCCAGGACAAAGATCATGTCAGATAACATGGCAGCATCTAAACAAGGTACCTTACATATGAACCTGATAAGTGCTATGAAAAGGAAAAATTATAGGATGAAGCAAAATTGGATAGATGAATGGTATCAAGGGCATTCCCTTAATTATCAGTATTTGCATTAGTTTTCTTCAAGTGCAGGATTTTTTTTTTCCTTGCTTTTTCATGTTAGGGCAAAATTTTCCTTTTTGACCCATCTGTATATCCCATGTTGGCAGCACATTGCACTCTTGGATAGATGACATGTGA